TTTAGAGCGGATCAGTAAATTATTTACAGGGAGATTCAAAAGTAACTCAACTAGTTGTTAGACTTTTAGAATTACACAGTCTTAAAAATAAATTATAACGATGTTTGTCGTTATTTGAAATTAATCTGTCAATTTGATGTCTTTAAAATCCCATTTAACCTAAATTATTGCTGAAATTATTTGCGCAGCGACAGGGGCTTCGTAGTGAAGAAAAATAACGATGTTTTTATGCAAAAGTTGTAATTTTAAACATACTAGATTTAATAATATACCTAATTTAAGTATACAGTGTGTCCCCGGATGGCCGAGCGGACGGGGACCTACCGCACTCTTGTAAACTATTTTATTGTTGATTTTTCGAGAAAAAGTTATTCTTGATAAAAAGTTTTGCTTCTTTTGGGAAACCGGGGGCAATAATCAAATATATAATAAAACATTCAGGGCGTTTAAAATGTGAAATTTTCCCTAAGCAAAGTGCCTTTAATTTTTGTTTTCGTTAAAAACTGTATTTAACAAAGTTGTTCGAGAACTCAAGAAATGTTTAAATGCGGGGTTTAAGTTTAGTCAGAAAAGAACAATAATCACATTTTGCAAATAAAAAGACGCCGCAATTTTTAACTATCCTTACATACCATATAATTACCATGGTCATTTTCTTATCAATGTCAGTCATCATATTTATTTTCATTAATTGACCACTGAATAATTTTTATTAATATGTAATGCTAACCTTGGAGCAACGAATTTGTCTCGTGAAATGTTATAGAATCGCCAATGTTTCACATCGACATGCAATACAAATTTTTAATGAAAAGTATACAAATATAACTGTAACTCGAAGAGCAGTTCGCAAGCTAATTGTAAAAATCCATACCACTGGTTATGAAAAGAATATTAAAAAGATAAAAAAGAATACTTATAATGATAACGATAGTGCTACTGTTGTAGTTATGGACTCTGTACAAGACAATTCAAAGATGTCACTCAGCAAAAGGGCAGAAAAAGATATTAGCAGATCTCATATTCAAACAATTTTAGTATACAACAAAATCTATCTATTCAAAACAGTGTTTAATCATAAATTACTTGATGAAGATGATGGCCGTCGTTTGGAATTTTGTTTAACAATGGGCGCGAAAGTAATTGAAAACAGATTCTTTCATCACAACATTTCATTTACTGACAAACCAACATTCACAACTAAAGGCCTGATTTCCTCTCAAAATTGTAGATACTGGGCTAAAGACAATAATCCAAAATTTAAAATAGTAAATGTCTGATAACCTCATAATCATAAAATAATTGGTTTTTACTTTTTCGAGGAAATCTTAATCAAAATTCGTATTTGGAAATTCTCAATAATTTTGTTTTGGCAGAACTAGATAGCGAAAATTTAGAGTTCAGAAGAAAACTAATATTTCAACAAGACAGATGCCCTGCACATTCTACACTTTTAGTGAGAAACTGGCTTGACGTTCACTTACCCAACAAGTGGATTGGTCGCTATTGACCAATACCTTGGTCTACACGGGCAACCGAATTGTGTCCATTAGATTATTTCTTATGGGGATACCTAAAGCAAAATGTGTATTCAAACGATTTTGACGATAACATTGATTTACTTAACCAAAAAATACAGGAAGCTGTTGCCACCATAAACGAAGAAATGATCTCGTCTATGTACAAGGAATTTAGAAAAAAAAATAGAAGAATGTGTATTACTTGGAGGTTTACAAGTTGAATAGAACTTGTTTCGTTGTTGCTATTAATTCCATTGTAATTTGTTATTTGTATTTTTTTAATTAGAAAAGCTATTTTCATTTGGTTTGCAGGCTACCGTGGCAGTTATTAATGGTAGAACAATTTCCGAGCCGGTTGCCACATCGTCGGTTTAGGTTTCCTGATGATTCGAGAGACATATCGCTCTTTTCAGAAAATTGAAAACTTTTCGTTACTTCTGAGGCAAAGAGCGATATGTCTCTTGAAACGTCAAGAAAACTAAACCGACGACGTGGCAACCGGCCTGGAAATTGTTCTGCCAAGCTATTTTTATGTTATATTAAATTTGAAATAAAAGTTTATTTATTGTTTACAATTTCTGTCTGCTTTAAGTATGATAGTTAAAAATATCATCTTCCTATTTGCTAAATGTGATTATCAACAATAAAAAACTTGTGGTACCCCATCCGGCGACATACTGCATTTTAACCACCAGATGCTTTATTTTAAATGATTTAAGAGGAAAGAATGAGAAGAAAGATAAAATACCAAAATAAAGTTGAAAATTTTTATAAAAATTAAAATAATTATAATAACCTAGGATTTCTAACGAAAATTACGATGAAACTTAATACTGGGAAATAAATTGCATCATATTTTATTTTATTTTTTTCATTCTTTAATATAATGCCACTGTCCGTTAGTGAAAATTAAAGCTACCTATTTCAGATTTACGTTCCATGTTCATTTAAAAAACATAGACAATGGAACGGCTTTCCGAACATACAATCTAATAAGATCGAGTTGACTTTGAACTCTTCGAGGGGTTGGTTTGTTCCCATGCTTTTCTATTGTTTATGGTAAAACAGAGGAAATGCGCCTATCTAGAGGATCTTGACAATTCTCTTTATTTCAGCCGCTTTTGTTTAACCGTGACGGCGAGACCGCAAGTAGTCATGCATAAAACGTACTTTGATCAATGGTCCTTCATGAAATAAGAAGCAAAAACAGATATGAATGTAATAAAAATACTGAATATCTGTTAAGATATACTTTTCTGTATACCGAAATGATGTTCCGCACTATGTTGTTACTAATCGCCAATTGATTCTATAAAAATTAGGTGGGGTAGTTCAAATAAGGTTTTGTCGAAAAATGCTTCGTTTTCGAGATAGTGATGTTGAAAGTGTTGGAAATTTTTTAACCATTTTCCGACATATTCTGAAGTCTAAGCTATTTTTTCTCTTTAATTTGACATGCGACAGTACTAAAACGGACCTCCGACCTCCTCTCCGACCTCCTATCTTGGGGCAGCGGGCATTGTGGAGCAGTGAATTTTGCGGAATTCTAATTTAATTTAATTAAATTTTGATAAATTTGCAGCTATGTTAATTTTTTACGATTTAGACCAATTTACTCTATTGGAATGTCAACATTAGAGTCAACAACTTTTGGTGTCTCAATGTTGTGGTTCAAATAACCTCGCAAATAACTATTTTTGCAAAGGGTTATACGACGGATTTATACCTCATTAGGTGCTAACATTTGAAGTTCTAAATTGATATAAATTTAAAAAATATTTAATATACCTAAAAATCTAACAAAAAGACGATGTCTAATTAGACTAGAATGCATGTAAATACTCCGTTGATAACTGTATGGTAGAAAATTGAAATACATTTTTCTCTGGAACAACGCATTCTAGTGATATTCAATAAGTTTATTTTGATATGTAACATTTACTTTTTATAGAAGCATTCCTAGAAAAAAGTGTAGGTATAGTATTTACATGTTTCTGAGATGTTCCTGAAATTTGAAAATATATATTTTTTAACTTTAACATTCTGTACCTTGGAAACGAAGCATTTTTCGACCAAATTTTATTTGAATTACCCCCCTAAAAATTTAACGTATAATCTACTGACGACAGTTGACTAGGAACTGAACATGGTATATAATAGTCACTGATACTGATATAATTCAGGTGCCCACATTCAGCAGTCTATAGTAGAAACGGAAGTAAAAACGATTACTTAAGTATGTGGCATGATAATTTTTTTAAACAATGCTGCGTTTATAGCGGTCAATATAAAATCATATAAATCCTCAATCTTAATAGTTGTGCAGAAAACTAACTTACAGATTTGAATACGGCAAAATACCTGCATAAAACTTATACAGGTGAAACTGGTAGTAGAGAATCGCTCATCACACGTTTAAGATAATTTACTTGGAATTTACAATGTATAATTGGTAGCCTTCGGGCAACGACATGCCGAACATACGCTGCTATAGGTACATGTGTTCTACTTATGCTTTACGACATCGCGTTTTTGTTTTCTAAAATATGAGTATGATTTTGAGGGGCAAATGGTACTACCAGATTTATTTTTCAAAAAATTGTTAGAATGGGTCGTGTATATTTGGAATATGTTTGAACTAACGCGTTTTTCAAAGACTACCTAAGTAAAATCAAATGATTATGGATAATTTAAATGCATTTAACTAAAAGATATATCAGTCCACACGTGTTTCAAGAAGGTAGAAATTAAATAAATAATTAAATAATTAAGTATTTGATTACAAAAACCAGAATCAAGACATTGAGGACGTTTCAAGTATAACTTCGCTTTCCTCTTTCTTAACGGATGAGTAATCAATGGAAAAAAAATGTGACTGAAAAAAAATTATTGTAATGTTCACAGTTCTTATACATGTATTATATGTATTGATTATACCTATAAGACCAATAGTCAGTAAAAAGACTAAGTAGTAAGTACAATACAAGTAATATTTTGGGTTCACTGACATTTCCATTTTAGTTGAATAGATAGGCACCTGAGAATATGCACTTTTCTCAAATAAGTATAATATTCTTTAATTTCACAGTAAACAAATAATGTACGATTTGGTTTTTATTCACACAAAAATGAATTAAGTATCCCACAAATAGAATATAAATAGATATCTACTTATTGTTATTATTTATTACTTAGTTTGTTTACTACTTCTACAATAGCCAAATTCTTACCCAACACATTTTTAGAGATTTTCCGAATTTAAGCATAGGTATTATTTTTTAAGTTTGTTTGTAAAAACTCAAATAAAACTCATAAAAAGGGGTAATTTGGATTTTGTAGGAACATTAGGTAAGTATAGCATTGAATCATTTATAAGCAGGTATATATCTATATTATTTAAATAAGCAATTGTTAAGAAAATCAATTTTAAGTACTTTTTGTAATAAGCAAACATCGGTGTTAATGAGAAAAAATACATACCTGCAATTACAGTGTCACTTAGGTTATACTTTTCACTCGTTTTGGGGAAATCCTTAAGTTTTCTATTGCTTAGTTTAAGTTCTCCACTTTGACTTGCTTCTTCCAGAATTCTTTCTAAAGATCTCGTTAACTGATTTTGAATGTGTCCATTTATATTGGGAACCAACACTGCCATCATGCATGGCACACTCAACAAAAACTCTTACTCACTCACTAAACGAAACTAAAGAGGAATACCGAATAAAAACAGGGACAGGGACTTGGTTGCCTGACGTCGTGTCGATGTTTACTCTTCATTTATTGTCCTGAAGAGGGCAGAAAGATTCAAAATTATTCAACATAAAATAGGGAACTGTAATACCAACATCAGTGAGATAAAGGAGCACTGCCTCTGTAAAGGCAGATACGACGCTCCTAAGAACACCTTGAGCCTTGAGTATATAAGAAAAAATGGCATTGATTTTATATAAGCCACACTATCTAAAAATGCTTCAGAGGTAGCCAATAAAAAAATCAATAGTTTTTTTATAACTCGCCGCGCCATTATTCCATGGCTAGAAATTGGCCTCAATGATTTGGGATCGAGGGGGATTATCCCTCTTTATCCTGCCTCATCTCGTGTAGGCCTGGACAGCCTTCGTAGGTGGGCCCCATCCGTCGTCTACCCCGACCGCAAATGCGGCCGGTGTAGGCGCTTTGTGGGACCTCCTTTTGTCCTGGCTGGGCCCCGCCGGCTAGGGCCCTTTCTTCTGGCGCTCTTCTTGCTTCGCCGGCTCGTCTGTGTAAACCCCGGGGGTAGTGTCATGTTTATGTGTGGTATGGTTGGGTAGGGTAGTGCGGCTATGCAGCCTGGGATGCGCTTTGCTAAGGTGGCCCTTAAGCTAGCGCGGGAAGGGAGAGGTAAGGAGGGTATGGGGGTGTGTATGTGTGTGTGTGTGTGTGTGTGTCGTTGTCTTCGTTTCTTGATCCTGGCTGTCTCTGAAACAGAAAAGGTTAGCGGGCAGGGGGGGGGTCATTGGGGTGGTCACCCAGGGTCAAAAAGTTGGTGTCTAGGTCTTTTGTGTTTGTCGGTCACGTCGGGTACGTAGTCAACGGCTTGCCTGAGGAGGGGATTGTCATGTCTAGCGGCTACGTCAAATCGTTTCTCCGCGTTTTGTCTTATTGTCTGTGTAGCGTTTGTGTATTGTAAGTCTCGTAATATGTCAGTGTTTCTTACGTACCAGGGCGCGTCGGTGGCCGTGCGGAGGGCTATGTTTTCCACAGCCTGTAATGACTTTAAGTGGCTTTTTGCCGCGTGACCCCACGCCGTGGAGGCGTAGGTTAGCTGCGGTTGAAGTACCACCTTGATAAGCGTTCGCTTATTCCTTAAACTGAGGGTGTTTCCACCTTTGAGTAAGGGATAGAGCCTAGCCCTGGTGGTCTTCGCTCGCGCCACCGTCTCCACGATGTGCGGTTTCCACGTGAGACGCTGGTCCATCGTCACGCCCAGGTATCGTGTTTGTCGATTCCAGGAGATGGGTTCCTGGGATAGTGTCAGTCTGTCGAGGTTTTGTGGGATTTTTCGTTTGGTAAAAAGGATAGCCGAACTTTTGTTGGGATTAATTTTGACTTTCCACCTGTTGCACCAGGTTTCAAGTTGGTCTAAGGAGTTTTGGAGGAGGGAGACGGAATATCTAGGATCTACGGATTGGGATGTGATTGTCAGGTCGTCGGCGTATAAGTATATGTTGGTGTTGGGGGGATGTGGGATGTCGGAGTTGTAAATGGTGTATAGGTGTGGGGACAGGACGGTGCCCTGGGGGACACCGGCCTCCATGGGACGGGTGGTGGAAAGGGAATCTTGGATTTGGATGCGGAATTTTCGGTGGTGTAGGTAGGATTTTATGAGTTTGGTAAAGGATATGGGATATTGGTTGGTGAGCATTTTCATCAGTAGGCCTTCATGCCAAACCGTATCGAAGGCCTTTGCGACGTCCAGGAAGACAGCACCAGTGTACTGTCCCCTGTTGAAGGCCGCCGTGATGTGCTCGGTAAGGCGAAGGATTTGGAGTTCAGTGGAGTGATTGGGTCGGAAGGCGAACTGCTCGTCTGGAATGACTTGCAGTTCTTGGGAGTGGGTTCTTAGACGGGTTAGTATAATTTTTTCTACCACTTTGCTCATAGCCGGTAGCAGGCTAATAGGCCGGTAGTGAATTGGAAACCGATAACATTTCTATTTCAAAATTAAATATTTCCATTATATAATTGCGATCACCTGATAATTTGAATTTTCTTTAGCTACTGATAGTGGGGTCAGTATAACAAAATTTCACTAACTCCAATAAAGATTATTCCTTTGTTCGGATCAAATAAGTTCAAGTGAATGTTGTCAAAAGTCAACTAATGGTTGTTTTAAGAACCCCAGAATTTAAACGGCACTATTTTGATGGGCNGCCAGTTCATCCAGAGCCGCCTTCACCCGTCTGTTAAGTACGTTTAAGTCATGTCTGTGTCGGTGGAGGCGAATGCGGGTGGCAAGCCGTTTCGCATGTCGTCTGTCACGTATTAAGTTTTTTATGTCATCGGGGAGGGTGCCCCGGGGGTTTCAAGTAGGTCATTCCCATAAAATTTGACCAATAAATCAAAATTATTTGTTTTCTGAACTAGATACCAAACAGGTAAAGGAAGTGATACTTAAAAAAAAAGTATCTCGGTTTGTTTCTGGGTGGCGGCTGCAGCCCCATATTGGTGGAACAATTGATTCTGCTCACTGACGTGGAATTCTACTAGTTTCTAATGCAATATTATAAAGTTTTAATAGGTAAAATTGTGCGTTATTATAGGCAAATTTTTTATCATTGAATATGAAATATTGTCCTTCCCTGGTGCTTTATCCTGTTTCTCCTGTAAAATATTACTAAATTCGTTATAACTAAACGGAGGAACTACTTCTTGTTTATTTTGTGCCATTACAAACTCTGGATCAATATTACACGCTGTTAAGGAGTTTAATAAATTTTGTGCAATTTCTCTGTTGGGAAAGTATCTGTTATCATTCGTATAGTAGGATTTGAAACTTTTTGTTGTATTCCAAATTTTATTTATGGGTGCGTTTCTATTTAATGTACTGCAAAATTGTTTAAATTAATTTTTCTTTTTTATTTTTAGTTTTTTTGTGACATATGCTTTAGTTTTTTTATATTGAACATAATTCTCTACACTAGGAAAATTTGTAAAATTATTTATAGCTTTGCGTCTATCTTTAATTAATTCGGTACATTCATTATCCCACCATGGAGTACGTTTTTTTTATTTGAGTTTTTGTTACTTTTGTAATACGGAATGCTTTCCTCTGCCGCATTCTCTATTATTTCATATAATGATTCATATTCTAAATAGTTTGTTCTCTCCTTTATTTTATTATCAATGATATTTTGCCGCTTTCTTTATCACCCTTCGAGCGCATGGGGACTATATTTTGTGCTTCGAGCTAGTGATTTCGAGTGAAAAATCGAGTGGTACGCGATTATTGAGATCACTCGAGATATCTCGAGATGTTTACTCCCACCACTCGAGTGATTATTACCCTACGGTTGCACCCCAAAATGTTAGTGCATACTACA